CCCCTAATAACTAACTGAATTGGAACACTCTAGAATAGGACTTAACAAGCATGAATGGATAACTTGGGGCCTATCACACACTTTAGATTCTCAATTGATTGATTCAACCTTGGTTGCTTGGGAGTATAAATTTGTGATCAGCAACAAATTCTTTGAAAATGATAGCAGGAGTATTCTTTTAACATCACAAGTTTGAAGCGAACTTGTTATCTGAAAATCCGATTGATTCTCTGTGCTGCATGTTTAGTGGTTTCTGCTCACACACTTTGTTTTTGTCTCTTATTGCATCTACATTTCCACTGTGTTAATATGCTCCAATATGTGATGTTGAGGAAGATGCTAGAAACCCGAACACATGATTGTATTTTAACTGATGAACATTGATTTTCTTCATGATTCTTTCTGCTAATTGATTCGCGTCTATTTATTAGGTTCAATGTGGAGTGAGGAGCAGTCTCGAGCCTCCTTGCAATGCCGTTGGCTTTCTTGATCGATTTCTTCTTGGTGAACAACATCTGTATCAACGTCCTGTGTACAGAAGAACAAAGGTTGCATCTTCCTCTCTTTTCTTGCACTTTTCTTTTCCCTGTGTTCTACATGTCTTTTTTTTTATTTGTTTCTACATATTATTGTTGTGTGTATGTTGTTGTCTACAGGAATGCAGTGTCAACTCTCCAGATTATGGACCTCTACCTCCAAATTCACCAGCATGGTGCTTGGCTCCGTTTGACCCAGAGGGCATCTTAAGGTTAGGGAATAAACATTGCGTTTCTCCAAGTACTGTCTTTCAGACAAACCAGAGTTTCCATCCTGAAACTCTGCAAACTATTGAATAAAGAGATCCGATACCTAAATTAGGCTTCAATCTTCCGCAGTTAATGTGGTAATAAACGGATAGAAGTGAGATAATTATCGAGAGTAAAGCATATTTCTGTATTGCATATACTTTTGTATAGCTGCAGTCATTTAAAATCTACTACAATGGAAAAACGCTGAAAGCTAAAATTTATTGATTATGACGCTTTCGTAGTAGGAGTAAAATGCTCTCTTGGAGGATCCATTTGCTGAATAAATAATTCTTGCTGGCATATCATGGAGGATGGCTGTCTTTTCCATTATATTACATGGTGGTGTCACATCTGGGGAATGATATCGTCCATATAATTTCGCGTGTAAAAATAAACAGCCAGGCTCTATCTAACTGATACACTGTTCTGAGTTTCTGGTTATTGATGGTTTTTCCCTTGATGTTTGGTTGGCTTACCGTTTGTTTCCTATTGAACAATTTTCCAGCTCTTTGATGGCTGCCATTACATGTTTAATCGGATTGCATTATGGGCACATTCTTGTGCATTGTAAGGTAGCGTGCATTTTTTGTTCCTGACATGGCTATGAACACTTGAGTTGCTTTGTAAGTGTACTATAACTAAGTTTTTTATCCTTTACTCTCCACTTTTTCCCTGCAGGACCAGATGCAGAGGGTAATTCTATGGTCAATATCATCGCTCCCTCTATTAATCTCTGGTTTTCTTTTGAGTGTTGTAGGTATGTCGTCTTTTCTGGAGTATCTTTAGATTTTATGTCCATCTGTCTCTATATTTCTTAGAAATAGTAGTAACACATTTTTATATATTTCAGGTGTTCCTTTTTCTAAACCGCTATACACATTAAGCTATATGTTCATCACCGCTGGAGCATCGGGAACTTTTCTTACCATTATTTTTTACATAGTGAGTACACTCTTAGAATAGTTATTTCTCTTTTCTCCCACATTTTCCATATGCCTTTTTAAATCAATTTTCTGTTTGCTCATACCTAAATGGAACTACACAATCCAGGTCGATGTCAAATGTATTAGGAAGCCGATGGTAATATTTCAGTGGATGGGAATGAATGCTCTCATCATTTATGCTCTGGCTGCTTGTGACGTCTTTCCAGAAGCCATGCAAGGTTTCTACTGGCGTTCACCTGAAAACAACCTGGTACTTTTCTTAAATTTTCTATCGTTTAGGCATTAGAGCCATTGTTATCTGCCTAAAGAGATGGCTTTAGAAATTATGATTCGAACATAAATCCTGGGAAATCTTCATCCCATTGGTGTCAGGGAGTTAAAAACCTTGCCCAACTGCACACAGACTATAGATCTTCATACTGGCGTCTGATAAAAGGGTTAACATTGAGTCCTTGGCATGCAATAAGATGTGAGAAAGCTTGTTGCTAATTTAAGTTTAAGGGTTTGTTTGAGCCACATTATTTTGGAATAATGTATTTGGAAATAGTAAATTGATGGAGAATATGTGGTTGAAAAAGAAGGAAAAGTTATTGATGTGATGAAAAATATTATTTTATTGAAAAATGTGTGATTAAAAATGAGTAAAAGAATGAAAATGAAAATTTTAATGTGAGTTGAATATGAGCTTAGAATCTCAAATAAACATCAAGGAGTGGGAGAATTACGAACACAATTACACAAAACAGGTGTCTTGTCATAGCGTTAATTTTGAAATCTTCCTAGTTGTAGGANGTTCTTATAGTCATGGCCAGTAGTTAATTTGTACTCTTGTAGAGGCAGACAGCCGTTGGTCCCAAGGGATGCGTTGGTTCCTTCAAAGTCCTCTAGAATTCAGTAGAGACTGTTAATTATCATTCAGTTATGCCCTTCAAATTCTATGCTTTGTCCCATCCATTCATGAAAGGTGCATAATACTCCTTTTTACATTATCTAGTTAGGTTAGTTTTAAAAGAAAACCAAACTCGTTGAATTGTAGATTGAAATTAAAAGCACCGGGATTTTATCCTTTATTTCGTCGGATCAAGTGTTTTGTTTGGCTAACAGTAAATGTAACATGGTATGTAGGTTGATTTCTCCGAAAGGCTATTGCAAACGGTTCTTCATTCAGAAAAATGGGGTACATTGGCATTTGTTATGGTTGAGATCTTATTTTGGGGTTTAGTTGCTGGTTTCCTCCACAAGAAACGCTTCTATATAAAATTATGAGGTTCCTTGTAGCAGTTTTCTTTTGAATCATTGAAGACCAAGAAAATACTAGAGGTACCCTCAAGGGTATGATAACTTCAGTGTTCTTCCTGGATTCTGTATGTGAATTGATTGTAAATATTTTCTATTTTCTAAACAGTAACGAGGAGCTTGAAAACGATAACCGGGATGTTCATAGTATTTCTCTATGGCATAGCCTTCATTTTAAGTACTTCCCCAGTTCAGTATTGAATAGACAAGTTAAATGCCCTCTGGACAATGCCCAGTGGGAGCGGCTTGGGAAAAGTGAATTGGGGGTAACTGTTACGAGAGAAGCCTCTTTATCTTGCTTTTACAAAGATATGAGACAAGGAATATTTTTTTTTATTTTTTTTTGAGAAAATCTAATAAATAACAATGAGTGTTCCACTTTAGTTGCTACAACTCATTTTTATTTTAAAATATTTCTCATGAAAAATTCGATCACAAAATAATAATTATGCAACAAATCATAATCATCAATTGATGAAAGGCAAAATTCATATGTGATTGAGAAACAAAATTGGCAACAAAATTTCAATATATGATAGGTGAAAGTCAAGTGGACAAAAATAGCATCATTTAAATATATATTATCATTTTAACGAAAATATAAATTTCTTCAATTTTAAATACAATTTTAATTTTAGGTCGAAATTGAAANTGCCATAAAGGGTGCTTGCAAAGAGTGTCTTTCGGCCAGCAAAACTTTACTTCAAAACTCATCCATCCTACCTTTTCATCCCACCATTGTCCCCATGACGTAACCATGCAACGTAATCATCGTACAATACATTTCGTCGAGCCATCTTATGTTAAAGTTTAAGCTACTACAATAAATACAGACGCGTTAGTTTTAACCCCTGTTTGGTTTTGATTAAAATTCAACTAAAATCTCAAGTCAAAGTCAACAATTAATTTTAATCACACATTTCGTGGGACCTCAACTTTTCAACCACACGTCATCAACTTTTATAAAAAAATTACTAAAAATCTGATTTTAATCTCTACCAAACATGGACTTAATTATATCTTCCACACCCTAGGAAAGTCGGATAATTTTTTTTCCATCGAAGCTATGATATATATACAATTTCTATAAATGATCGCCAATATGACTTATACTCAGGACGTACCTATGCTTCGATATTACGTTGAACTACCTATTTTAAGCTTTTAGCAAGGCATATATAAATCCAGCCAATCTTATGTCGTTCACACCTTGTAATCTGTGATCTCTTCAACAAAGTTAAGAATTACAATTCCAAAAGCTATTTCTATGGCCACTTCTGAACAAGAAATCAATGAACTTTCTGGTACCAGTGATAGCTGCCATTGCCATCAAAATGAAGCTCAAAAGAGCAGAGAAAAGGCTGAATCTCATATGGGGAAAGCAATTGCACACAGAGCAGTATATGGTTCAAGCCATAGAAGGGGAAGAAGTGCAAGGCTCAGAAATAATATTGTCAAAACATTGCCAAGTAGGCTAAGCAAAGTTTCCATTGCTGATGAACCTGAAAATTAGTATTGTCTTCTTGATTCTTCAAGAGCTTGAATTTGATGCAATCTCCTTTTGTAGTTTCGTAAATTTTACAATGATGAAATTATATCTTAATAGTTTTCGTAATCTTGCATAAGATTTAACGTAATATGTGTGTGTATAAATAGTTTCCTGATTTCACCTTCCTCGCATGGCACAACACGATTTTGATAGGGTTTATCTCTTAGAAAGATAAAAGATGACAGTTATCAAATGATTAAAGGAGGGGAAGACCCCTTTGTGGCCTAGGTAGATCAAATCAATAGTATAATCTTACTCTTCTTTTCTTTAATAAGAGCCCATTTTCGAGGCCATAGAACAAGAGTGTGTTAGTGTCCGGGAACCGAATCGTCTTCCAAGTTAACTCAGAAATAGCTGGGAAGTTCTTACCATCGAGAACGACAGCCTCTTTTAGGCACTAGGCCAATTCAAGGCATGGAGGGCCGAAATATGTGTGTCGTGTTTTTCAGGCTGCTCGAGCCTAGGCAGCAGCAGATTGTGCACAGAGACCAGAGTTCCTAAATAAAGAACAGTCCACGATTGTCTACGCCAAGGCTCGACTTGCATCAAAATGGAAGTGAGAATATGGATGAATAGATTAACGATTCATTTCGTACTACAGTTCAAAGAAAATGGATGAATAGATTAAACCTGAAGGGGGGAAAAAAGAGAGAGGAAGAAGGTAGTTAATTTATTCTTTCATCAGCTTCTGACAGAAAAGATTGCACTCTGTTTGAACTCGTAAATAATCATCATCCCAATTTCTGAAATACCAAATATTGTTCACACTAAATATAGCCTTCATTTATTGATTTCCGTCCTTAGATCTAAATTTAATGCATAAATATTTATTATATAGTGGGTAAGAGTGGGAATAAAGAGGCCATGAAATGTCTTAGATGCAAAAAACAGGGGTGTTTTGAAGCCTGATTTGTTGGTAAAATTGAGTGGTTAACTGCTCGGCTTTCACATCGATCATTTCATCTCCAGTGAGGGAATTGAATACCTAATCACGATCATCATCCTTCATGTCACTCTCGAGAGGGTTGTCGAGTTCACAAAGGTTGGTTGCATAAGCGTATTGGCTCATGGTATCACCTGAGAGGTAGGAAGGTGTGGGAGAGGCACGAAAAAGGGTGAGGTGGATAGAAATGGGGGCGGCGGTGGATCGCCCTCTTGGAGATGCAAAGGTCTCATTGGTCCAACAAACTTCTTCCAATTTCCATTTGAAGCCTGGGTCGATTTATTAATCTGTTTAGGTTTGTCATTGGATCGATTCTTGAACATGAGGAATGCCACCTTGACGAAGTTGAAGGCTCGCTTCTTTGGCTTCTTGATCTCATTGTTATTGTTTGCCATATACACCAACTCCTACGGCTCTGAAAACCAATTGAAATGATACAAGGATCAAGGACATTTAGGCGCTTTCAACTGAGAAAATGTATAGGCCAGTGAATCAAACGAAAGAATAGGTGAATCTTGTGGCTAGATTCAATTAATTTGATGCCACAACCCTCCAGATGTCCTTAATTTTCTCCAACCCACTGCTTCATTAATAAATCTATTACTCATAAATTAAATGCTGAACACAATGGGATGACTTTCATTATTGGTATCAAACCAACAGCGATTCATACAACATCGAATAAAGAACCCTTGTTATGAAGTTTATTCGATCGATCTATGTTCATAATTAGCAAGTCATAGAAGATAAAAAATCGAGCCTAGTAAATAGAAAGAACCCTTGTTATCGTTGAATTTCTTTTTTCATAATTATTTTTAACGACTTTATTCTTTGTTTTTTGGAATCAAAAGTACAACAATATTCTTAAATTATAAATTAATACAATTGCATTACACAGTACTATAAAATTGATACCATATAGTAAGATGCACCAATCCACGCCAGTCCCAACTTACAAGTGTGTTATATGATGACACCACTCGACTTGAATATCCAAAATTAAATATAAGAAAATCGATAAAGAATTGTAGAGAGAAAATATACGACCATTTATTGCCCTCACAATAAAAGTCAATACCTATCGAGATCTCTTGACTTGGATATTAACAAACGACCTAATATCTATCTATACTCCCACCTACTTGGAATGGATTGAGATTTATCTGAAGCTGCTACTAAGACTAATCGAATGTAAAATTTTAGCATTCTTCCACGGGATTCCTACACTATTATGGAATCTTATAGACTCTAAGGAGCTTTTTCCAATGGAAATCAGTATTCTGCAATTAAATTCATTTTAGGTTACATTTAAGCTCTATTTTTTTTTAATTTTTTTGTTTGTAAAAATTGAGTTTTTTAATAATAATTATTTAGAGAATGTATGGTTAGAAAATGAAAAAAAAGAAAAAAAAATTTGGGTTTACATGTAAAATTATTTTATTGAAAAAATGTAATTGAAATTGAATTTGAGAAAAGATAAATGAATTTTTATATAATAAGCTCAAACAGAGGGATAAATTTGTTTTTCATAATTATTTTTCATTATATTCTTAATTTTAAATTAATACAATGGCATTGCACAGTACTATAAAATTGATACAATATACTGAGATGCACCAAACATAATCTTAAGAGAGAGAAAAATATTTATTACCATTTAATTTTCGGGTTTTCCAAAAAATTGAACCAACCAATCCACACCAACCCTAATTACAAGGGTATGAAACGGCACCAATTGAAAGTATTCAAAAGTGAGTAATGCTGTTTAGTTCCACTATAATGTGATATTAAATGATATATGAAATTAAATAAGTCATTTAATTTTATCTTTCATTTAGCCATAGTCACTTAAACTGTGGTTACATAACATTACTCTTCAAAAGTAGATAATAAAGGATTGTAGAGAGAGAATGTCCTCACACTACCTCTTGAGCTCTCTTCACTTGGATATTATAAACAAATCACTCTAATATCTACTTATACTCCCATACCTACTTGAAATGGATAGAGATTTGTCTTAAGAAATTGCTTGGATTAATACTCTAGAATTATCCACAAAAATGTAACATTTTAGCATCTTCCACAGGATTCCTGCATATTATGAAATCTTGTAGACTTGTATCAAGAATCCTCCAAGGAGCTTTTTTCCTATGGAAGTATTTAGTATTATGCAGTGGAATCCATTGAATGAAACATAGTTGATATTAGGTTGAAAAATATCAATTGAGTGAAACTACTTAGGGTTATTCTTAGACTCGGCTGATTTGGGTGACCCAACTCATTGATTTTAAAAACAACATTGTCATTTCTCAATCTTCAATGATTTGATTGTCCTTCTACGACACAAACCACCCTATAAAATACCCGATTAATACAAGTTGCGTGATTTAACTCGTCAACCTACTTGTCTAGAACCCGTCAACCCACTTGTCTCACATTGAGTTTTTTTTTGGGAGATTCGCCTACTATCGAACAAGAATCAGGAATACTTTCTTATCATAATAAGATAAGATTACTTTTGTCATTCACAAGACTCACACTAAACTTGTTGAAGGGATAAAAATTAATCGAAATATATCTTTCCAGCATCCATTAGAAGAAGAATTAAGCTTAGGAAATACAATTATGCCATAGGTAGCCGTCGATTTATGTCAACTTATGCTAAAATTATGTTGGCACCAAATTAATTATACCAATGGCCCGTCATCACCTATTTCCATTTATTTATTTTCTCGCTGACTCTCTGTATAATAAGAAAAAGTTGATAGAAAAATTGACGAATAGCCAGTCCAAAACGAATCTCAATATCTGGTAACACAACCATTTCTTCTACTTCTAACCACCGCCCACATAAAGAAAAAATAAAAATAACAAATTTGAGAATATTTTGGATACAGTTTGAAACTGAAAGACATTTTATTCTACAAATAATGAATAATAGAAAATTACATAGAGAAATCCTCTTTGTCCATACGAATTATATTCCCGGTTTCTTCTTCTTCTTCTTCTTGTCGTCGTCGTCGTCGTCTCTGCAATTTGTAAACCTGAAAATGAGGTTTGAAATTACAAGAAAATAATAATAATAATATAGGTGTTTGGTTTTATTTTTGGAATTCAAAGGAAAAGGAGAAGAGAGAGAATAACAATGAGGGAAAAAACAGTGGGGTGAGTTTTCAGTTGCACGGATTTGGAGTCCGAATGAGGAGAAGCTGATGGTGGGTTGTAGTAGTAGTAAGGGAAATATGGAAGAATAGGGTTAGGTGGTGGCGGAGTGGAGTAACCATAAGGATTTGTAGGTGGATAATATGCTCCACCACCACTGGACGGTGGTGGATAATAAGCTGGAGGAGGTGGTGAGTTGTAATATACACCGCTAGTACCACCAACACCATTGGGTGTTGAAGGTGGAGGAGGACATTTGAGCACACCTGATGGTGGTGGAGGAGAAAAAATGGGTTGACATGGATTGTCACAGGAAGAACACATTGTGCAGGAAACTTGATCTTTCTCCATTGCAGTTACAGTCGACATTTCTTGAGAAAAATGACACAAGGAACTGAAAACAAGTGTAAACAAGAAGAGATGAAGAGAATCCATTGACGAAGGGGCTAGAAATTCTCGATAAAAAAGAGAGAAATCCACAGAGATTCTGATTAAATGTGAAGGATTTAAAGTGCAATTTGGTGGAATGGAAAGGGAAGCAAAGTGGAAAGGAGGGGGTGGGGTTAGAAATTAGAAATGGGAGCATGTGCATTGAATATTGATGGCCGCTACATTCTTGTGTTTTATTCCATTATCATCGACAGAGAGATAAGAGTTGGAAATAAAAAATCAAATCATGTGTATTTTCCCATTTCTATATTCATTTTTAGCTCCGTAGAGGAATTTTTTTTTTCTCCCTAAAATTACATGAGTTTTTTATTTTAATTTTTGAAATACAAAACCTAAGTTCACATGGATAACTCAATTCAGCTATAGAGGTAGCCAAGCGTGTTGGGATTGTACTATTTACATGTCGAAAAATTCAACCCATCATCTCTGTGTACATTTCAAAATCAAGTTCACACTACTAATTTCAATTGTGAAAACTAAAATTCTGCTAATCACGCTCATAAGCAAAAAATAAAAATAAAAAAAAAAAATCGCAAGTGGCTAGCGAGCAGCTCGACTCACCCTACCAAGGGGCGATTCGGCGGGTTTTGTGACGTCGGGCAGAATAGTGATTATTCTGCAAGCCGAAATCAATAGACAATAATAGAGAAGAACGCAAGAGAATAATACTAAGAAAAACGAGAAAATCTTTATTATTCAACAACTGAACGAAAATAACCCACAAGTCGGGTTAGATAGCTAGAAAATAATAATTTTCGGAATTTTACCAAAAATAGCAAAATTTTATTATTCATACCAAAAGGAAATAAAACAATTGAACGAAAATAACCCACAAGCCGGATTAAATAGTTAGAAAATAATAATTTTCAAAATTTTACCAAAAATAGCAAAATCCCATTATTCATACCCAAAGGAAATACGTAATGACGGAAATAAGATTCCAAAAATTTGGCTTAATTTAAGATCGTAATCTATGTCAAAAGGGACATTGAAATATTACTAAAAATTACAAAAAATAACTTAAATTGATGATTCGAAAGGCAAAATAACTGAATTTGGCCTCGAAATTGATGCACATCGAGCATAGCTGGGTGATCACGACGTACGCGTCGAAAAGAGCTTTCTGAATTGGGGTCATGGGCGTAATTCTGACAACCGTAGCCAAAGTTATGACCAAAATACCGAAATGTATCTAAAAAGGCCCCAATTAGGAAATATTGATGATTATTTGCCAATTTTGCGCTGATCTGCCAACTCATGGTATCTCAACCCCATTAACGTACTATCAGACAGCTCGACCTTGTCTGACTCGGATCCTCCTACATTAGTCGCCCCGGGTTGAAATGAACTCGTCCTCGAGTTCACTTGAATATCTTAAGGATCCCCAAAACAAGGACAGAGGTGCTTCACATTGAAGATATCAAAAGTTTTCAAATGGTTGGGGAGGCGTAATCGATAAGCATTGTCGTTGATCTTCTGCAGAACCTCACAAAGACCAATCTTCCGCTCTTTCAGTTTATTATACTCCCCAACAGGAAAACGATCCCGAGTTAACACTGCCCACACAAAATCACTAACTTCGAAAAGGACCGATGACGATCACTGTCAGCCTGAACTTTGTACTTGACATTACTCTCTTGAATGGCTAACTTCACTTGAGTATGGATTCTCCGAAGATGTTCCGCCATCTCATTTGCTTTGTGATTTATACGACCCACATGTGGACTAGGACCTAAATCAAGGACCCCAGATGGAACTCGACCATAGACAATTTCAAATGGACTCAACCTTGTGGTCCTATTCCTCGACCTATTATAGGCAAATTCTGCCTGAGGTAATGCCAAATCCCACTGCTTCTGCTTAGTTCCTACAGACTCCTTAATAGATTACCCAAGCTCCGATTCACCACCTCGGTCTGACCGTCTGTTTAGGGGTGGTAGGCGCTGCTAAAATTCAACTGCGTCCCCAGTTTCTCCCATAAACTTCTCCAAAAATGACTTATGAACTTAGTGTCACGATCAGACGTAATGGATTGAGACACACCATGTAAACGCACAATTTCTTTGAAGTAAAGATGGGTAATCTGGGTAGCATCCATTGTCTTTCGATATGCTATGAAATGGGCCATCTTTGAGAACCTGTCAACCACAAAAAAAATAGAATCCGAGGCCCGTTGGGTATGGGGCAGTCCCAACACAAAATCCATACTGACATCAACCCAAGGCGCCTCAGGCACTGGCAAAGGTGTGTAAAGACCTGCATTAGTAAGAGCCTATTTGGACCGCTGGCACACATAACAACGCCCAACATGACGAGCCACGTCACTATTCAATTTGGGCCAATAATAAGTAGAGAAAACCAATGCCAAAGTCTTATCTCGCCCAAAATGTCCCATATTATGAAGTTCACTAACAATGTGTTATCTTAATGAACAATTTGGAACACGCAACTGTAATCCACGAAATAGATACCCATTATGCAAAACGAAATCATGTCGCTGATTGTTATTTACCTCCTGGATTATCTTCTCGAAGGAAGGGTCAGCAGCATACATATCCGAAAAAGCCTCAAACCCCACGACATTGGCTCTCATGGTGGTGAGAAGTGATGTACGA